CCACTGTCGCGCATCGCCTCCGACGGTTCCAGCTCGGTCGAATTGTAAACGTCCTCAGCCTCGTCCGTGACCATCCTCGCCTCGGCCGCGTCGCCCCCCACGCGCTGCCCCTTGCGGCTCGCGCGCAGGCAGTCCTTGGCGAAATGGCCGCGGCCTCCGCATCGTAGGCATATCGTCTTTTCTGTAGCTATGATCGGTGGCGAGTGTGGTGGCTGACCTCGTCCAGTTGAACCCCGGCCGTAGCCGCTGGTAAACGCATTCTTGCCACGTCCCCTGCTGGTGACTCTCCCAGTCTCTCTGCCTCTTGAAGTGCCGCGTGCTGCGCCTCGCCCTCGAGCCTGGCCGGCCCTGGGAACGATGGCCGTTGAGCTTCTCGGTGGTGGCGGCACCATCGCGACAACTGGGTAGAAGCCTCTCGCCAACCTCATGTCGTTCATATTCTGCCTCGCGTCCGCGTAGGCTGCCATTATCTCGTCGTACTGGTCCACATCGTACGCCTGGTCCGGCATGGGGGTGCCACTCATGGTGGCCGTCTCGCTGTAGTAGGCCGCCTCTGCGTCGAAGCTCGGCCCTGCATACACTTGTTGATCCTCTGCTGCTTCCTCGTAGTACTCGTCTTCCTCGTGGCCGTGGTAGGCCCCCTCCTGGTACCCATCATCTTCGTCGTAATCGTCCAGGGTGTATGCTGCCGCTCCCGAGCTCGCTCTGCAACTTGGAAATGAGTCCAGGCCGAACGTCTTCTTCATCTCGCTCTCGACCTTGTCCAGCGTCAGGTTGTCGCCGACCTGGCTCGCGATCAGCTGCTTGCCCTCCTTGTATAAGCCTGCCCGTCGCAACAGGAACCAGCCGAGCACCTTGTCTGGTAAGATGACGTCGTGTGAGCGAACCTTCCGCTCGGCCGTGCGAAACCTCGCGAGGTAGTCCATCAGCGTCTTTTTGGGCCTGCGAGCTGACTTGAAGAAAAACGTATCGAAATCCGTCGGGAGCTCCGTGATCTGGTCGTACTTGTACGCCCAGTCGAGCGCGTCTAAGATGGTCTGCCATCCTTTCTCCTCTTCGAATTTCTCGATGTCTATGTCCTCGGACACCTCCCACGCCCGGCCGTTCAGGCCTTGCATGATCTCCAGGCCTACTGTCGTCTCCTGCTCTCGTCCACGAGCCCGTGCTGCAAAGATCTCCACCTTCTGTCAAAAGGTTTTGTACCCGTCGATCGAGCCGTCGAGCTCAGGGGCTCGCCCCAAGAATCCCGAGGAGAGCTGCTGTCCGTCTCCAGCCGCCGCCGCGCGCCCTTGTGGTCCGCTGTGCGCGCCTCCTGCTGCTGTTCCTCGCCACTCTTTGCCGTCCGGTGGTGGCATCGTTGAAGTACTTCACTGTGTCCGTGAACTCCTGCTCCGCTACCAATGTCAACTGCTCGACGCTCCCGAAGTCGTCGGACTCACCTCGAAATCCGTTTCCCGAACTCGGCCGAAACGCCCTCGACACCGCCCCCGATCACGCTCTGCGGGCGGGGAAGGGTGATGATAGCCTTTCGGTTTGCCGAGAGGCCTCTTGAGCTAAATATGGCAATGGTGCTTGCTGTCTTGACTGCTGCTCTACACTGCTTGCTATACGCTGCTCTGCCATGCATGCTGGGGGGAGGGAGGTGTCTAACATCTTATGTCAGAAGCCCTCACAAAACACACTAGCAACTGCATTGTATGGAGTACAATTCACACCAGCACCAGCACCAGCATCAGCATCAGCATCCGCATCAGCACCAGCATCAGCATAATCATCAGCATCAGCATCAGCACCAGCACCAGCAGCATCATCATCATCATCATCATCATCATCATCATCATCATCATCATCATCATCATCATCATCATCATCATCATCATCATCATCATCATCATCATCATCATCATCAGCACCATCATCATCATCATCATCATCATCATCAGCAGCAGCAGCATCCGCATCAGCATCATCATCATCATCAGCAGCATCATCATCATCAGCAGCAGCAGCATCAGCATCAGCATCGTCATCATCAGCAGCAGCATCATCATGAATCATCATCGTCATCATCATCATCATCATCATCATCACCATCATCATCAGCATCATCATCATCGCCATTCTCATTATGAACTATCATTATCATACTTGCCGCAGCCAATACCAACATAACCATCCTCAGAAACATCATTCTGCGTCGTCGCCCCGCCCTTCTATTTCCTCCTCCTCCCCCACCTCTCCTCCTCCTCCTCCTCCTCCTCCTCCTCCTCCTCCTCCTCCTCCTCCTCCCCCTCCTCCTCCGCCTTGTCCGCTGGCGACCATGCCGACGAGAAAAGACGAGGGGGTCGACGACAGCGGGCGGCTCGGATGCAGGGGCATGTAGTTCCCCCCCCCGCGCACGTTTTTCCACGCGCTCAAACTTTGACAGCTGCAAGTTGGGTCCCTCGCTTGCGGCCCAGTCGTGGCCAAAAACGCGTGAAAACACGCGCTCCGCGCGCCCGCACCAGGCGCACGTTGGGACCCCCTTGCGTTGCCCCCCCCCCTCCCTCCCCTCATCCGCGCACGTGTAATCACACACAAAAAACTCGCCACCGCTAGGTTGGGTCCCCCTGGGGCCCCGGGGACGCGTGAAAAGCACATGCCCCGCGCGCACGCGCCAGAGGCATGTCGCCCCCTCCCCCACCCACCCGCACTCGTATTATCAGGTGTCAGAGAACTCACCACCTGCACGTTGGGTCCCTCGCGTGCGGCCCCCGTCGTTCCCCGAAACGCGTGAAAACACGTGCTCTCCGCCCGAACGAGCCAGCGTCATGTTGGGCCCCCCCTCCATTGCCCCCTCCCCCTCTGAGCACACCAAGAGAGCCCAGAATCGAATCGGCAAGTCGGACCGGCGAGTGAAATGAATCGGATCGGCGAAGATCGGCAGGGAAAAGTCGAATCGGCGGAAATCGGCAGGCTAGTATGCCTCCAATAAGAAATCGGAACCCACATCGGAATTCCAAATCGAATCGAATCGGAACCCGTCGAAATCGAATCGAATCGAATCGAATCGGAGAAGTCGAAATGAGCCCTGGCGCACGCAACCTCGCATGCAACAAGAAATCGCCACCCCCAAGACGGGTCCCCTGTCCGAGGCCCCGTGGACACGCGAAAGCACGTGCCCCGCGAGCACGCGCTTGGGGCATGTTGGGCCCCCCCTCCGCGCACGCGCTTGTACAGGCAATGACGCGAACTCGCCACCCGCAAGTTGGGCGCGTCGCTCGCAACCCCGTCGTGGCCCGAAACGCGTGAACATACTTGCTCCGCGGGCATGCGCCAGGCGCATGTTGGACCCCCCTCTCCGTTGCCCCCCCCCCCCCCTCCGCGCACGTAATTTTACATGCAAGTATGTCGCCATCCCAAAGTTGTCTCCACCTGGGGGCCCGTGGACACGCGAGAACACTTGCCCCGCGCGCACGCGCCAGGGGCATGTCGCCCCCCCCCCTCCGCGCAAGCATTTTTCCTTGCCAAGAACTCGCCACCTGAACTTTGGGCCCCTCGCTTGCGGCCCCGTCTTGGCCCGAAACAGGTGAAAACACGCGCTCCGCGCGCACGCGCCAGGCGCATGTTGGGTCCTCTTTTGCAAAAAACCCGGCTGCGATAGGAGAGGGGCGGGGCGAGAGGTAGTTTCCGAAGCGCCCCCCCGTTGCACAGGCAAGCCTGGGCGAAACTTCGGCCCCGAAAAAACCAAAAGGATGGCGCACCTTCGAACCCCCCTCCCTTGGCAACGCAATCCCGGCTGCGAAAGGAGGAAGGAGTGGGGGAGGGGTTTCCGAAGCCCCCCACCCCTTTGAAAGGGAAGCCCCGGCTGAGCTTGGGCTCCGGAAAGCAAGGAGGGGCGGGGTAGCTTTGAAGCCCCCCCCTTTGGCAAGGCAATCTCAGCTGCGAAAGGAAGGGGGGGTAGCTTCCGAAGTCCCCCCCCTTGGAAGGGGAGCTCGGGCTAACCTTGGGCTCCAGAATGGAGGGAGGGTGGGGTAGCTTTGAAGTCTCCCCCCCCCTTGGCAAGGCTCGGCTGCGAAAAGGAAGGGGGGGTGGGGGCGCTTCCGAAGCTCCCCCCTTTGAGAGGCGAGCCCGGGCTGACCTTGGGCTCCGGAAAAGGAGGGAGGGGAGGGGAGCTTTGAGCACCCCCCCCTTTAGCTGGGGCCCCTTAGCTCCCAAACGCCTGCAATTCGAAAGCCCCCCTCCACTTTCCAAGGGAGGGGGGGGTAGCTTCAAACTGGGGCCCCCGTTTTAATGACAAGTGTGCCACGAGCGCGCTCTCTCATTCCCAGTGCTTCTAAGGCCGACCCCCCCCCCCACTGTCTGGCGCACGTGTGGCTAGAACATCGCCCCTTCGTTTGCTGCCTGGAGCCCCTTCGGCGGCAAAAAGGCTGACAGAAACTCCTTGATGAACACCACTCCAGACAACCGCGAGGTGCCCCGAGAGCAGCCGAAGACAGCCCAACGACCGCCCAGCGCATCCACGAAGTCTTCTTCACAGAAGCCCCAGGAAGACCCCGGGGGAGAAAAAGGAGGCCTCCAAAGGCCCGAGGAGACCAAAACACTGGGAAACCTGAGGGATCACAACGTCATCGTTTTCGATGCTTTCCCGCTGCGGACCGCCCCGGGAACGCCGCAGAGATCCCCAAGGGTCCCCTCCCGCCACGCTCCAAGACCCAAGACGGCCCCCAAAAAGAGCCCCAAGACTGCTTGAGAACCCCCAGGACGGCCCAAGAGGGCCTGGCCGCCCCCAAGAAGGTTCCACCGAACCTCCTCGGGAGAGCTCGGCAAAACCATCGAGCCCAAGACTGCCCCGAGACGACCCGACATGCCAGCAACGGCCCCCGGTAGACCCTATAGAGACCCGCAGAAGGACATGACGAATACCCCAGGAAGCCTCCAAGATGCCTTCAAGAAGGAGGAAGAAGGCGGAAGGAGACGACGCAGGAGGGGGAGAAGGAAGCTGCGGACAAGGACGGCATGTTTGAGACCCCGCCAATCCAGGCAGGGCGCCCAACTGGAACGGGTCCTAAACTCAACCTCCTTCCTGAAGCGCTGCTGTGTCGGCACGGTGGCGGGGGGTGCCGCAGGCAGCTGGATCACATTGAGGACCACGAAGACGGCCAGCATGATGTACACACAAAACAAATAGGGCACTAATGGCGATATAGTCCCCATCGGGTCTGAAATCTCGCCCCAAGAACTGCCTCCTGACATGGACTTAAACAGCGTGTACATACTCCATGTCAATGAACGGAAATTCGCCTTCACCACGCACGGGGAGAGGAAGTTATCCTCGCAGGAGTCTGGGAAACCCTCGTCCTCGAGCCACGTGGTGGTGATCTGGAGGAACACAACTGCGAAAATGTAGGTCATGACGACGATCAGGAGCGATGCCCAGAGCAATGACCTTCCACAATTCATGATCCCCGATACCATGATGCGCAACTCGCGGAAGAAGCGGAGTATCCTGACAACCCGAACCGCTCGAACGAGACGAAGGATGCGCACGACGCGGAGAGAAGATATATGACTCCGCCAAGTGGACGATATGACCAGGGCCAGCTCTTCCACGAGGGACGACGCAACGATGAAGCAGTCGAACATGTTCCAACTAAAATTCTTGCTGGAGGGGCAAGCAAAACTGAATCCCTCAGCTACTATGCGAAGGATGAGCTCCGCGAAGAACACAAGTGCAAAGACCCTGTTGGCCCAGAGGAAATTGTGCGGTGATTCTTCCTCACCAGAGCGCCCAATCAGAGACATGTCATGGTCGGCCTGGTAGCCAATGGTCCCAGCGTTTGCCACGATCACGACCGAGACAATCATCTCGAATACCACATTGTGGACAATCCTTGACACCACCCCGCTGCCGTTGCGACATCCTGCGGTGCGCAGCTTGCTATCGTCCGAGCTCGCGTTGTTCCAGAAGAAAACCTTCGCATTGCAATGGGGAGTCACACTCCATGTTCGCTGCTACAGAAGGCTGCTGACGAACATTCGACTGCGCATCCTTCGCCAGAGGCTGGCCAGAACCCCCAAAAAACACCATATCACACAACGCGAGAAAGATGCGCCACAACAACCCGTGGCTTTCGAATCAACCGTTACACTCCAAGGCCAACTCTCCCACTCCCGATTCGCAATCCTTCCTCGATCCCTCATGAAGGAGAAAAGGGGTCCCGTAGAGAGATGCGCAACTAGGGACGAAGGGTGCGGATTCGACTGCTGTTCGTGGCAAAACGCAACAACAACCGAAACAACAAAAACACGCCGAATTGGTCTACAAGTCGCGTGAGGCCTCCCAAAACGTCCACGCCGTGCCTCACCTCTCCTCATCGCCTGCTATCATCCACCCCCTCCTCCCTTCCCCATCGACGAGCCCACAGGAGGCGTTCGGCCGATCGTTCTGTTCCCGCTGTGAGCCCGTGTGCGCGTGGTTCAAGATTGGGTTCCTTTTGTGCGCCCGTTGTGAAAGAAGCCTCGGGACCAGAATTTTTTAGGGACAGATCAGAGCTACAACCTGCGACACGAGTGCATGGTTGCAGAATGCACTGCCCCACTTCGCCAGGACTCACAAGCTTGAGTCTGGCTTGGCCCTTGCGGATTCCAAAAAATCGATGATAACATCTCACACAAAGAAATTCGAGCGGCCGCGGCCCATGTGGATTTCTCCGACGCCCTCCTGAGGGCCCTGTGTTACGTACGTCAGACACCGCGTCGTGCCGTCTTCCAGAGCACGAGCAAGCCTCTGGAGGCCAGCAATGACCAACGCGACGGCCATCGCGGGATGCTCGTGCACGACCACGTTAAACAAAGTGTGAATGGTGGCGGTGCTAGTGAAAGCGTTTGCTGCGGCTCCTATCGCTTCGGTGAAGACTGTCGTAGACGATGTGTCATTGCATACGGTAGCCGGCGGAGTCACCATAGTGGAACAATGGAATGTAGCTTTGGAAATGCTCGTTTAGCGGGCCGGCCAGGTGGATTCCTCGACATCCTGGCGAGCTCGAGTGAGCCTGCGGAAGGCCCGTGCGATAGACGGCCCTTGGAGCTCTCGGCCCGTTCCCAGTCCTACGAGGACTTAGGACGTGATGCTACAGACGGCAGGCGTCGCAGAGTTCCAACCCACCTTGACAAGTTTTTGCCGGAGCAGCAAGGGGCTGCGCGCCTCAGGCTGCTTCGGAGCGGTGGAGCTAAAGTGGATTAGATCTATCGTGCGGGGCCCTCTGCGGTGGCCATATGAGGTTCGTGCGAGGTTCGTGCGTGGACGGCGCCGCCAATGCCCGCATGCACCAATCACGGGTTGTGGCTGCTGACGAGAAAGGAGGGCTGCGAAAAGGTGCCTCCACCGCGCTGCCCCTCGCCTGCTTTAGGAAGGGCTGGCGTCGGGACCCCCTAGTCATCCGCGCCTCGGGACGGCTTGATTTCGGCTGGAGTATTGGAACACTGCTTCCAGGATGGAATCTGGCAAGCTGCCAAGCCCCGCCCACACTTCCCGTGCCAAGACCCTGTGGCTGCCCTATTCCTCGCAGCTTGGAAAGTGGGGCGGAGTCTTCGCGGGGCCAGTGTGGCGGTTGACAACGGGGGTCAGAAGTGGGATCGTAAGTTCTAGTCGCTGGCTTGCGTGGCCAATCCAATTGCGTTTTCGGCTAGGTGTGCCCCCGACACGCGTGCTTTACTCCTCCAGGATAGGAACAGTTGGGTCGGGCCCATCTTCTGGGGGCCCGTTCTGGACAGCTTGTTTTGCCACGAAGCGCCGACTGGCATCGCTGGGCGGCCGCAAGCGATCGCGCGCGCCCGGTGGAACAACCGCAGGCGCTGCCCGGCGCCCGCGCGGGCTATAGCCCGCAGAAGCGCGCCGGCGGCCACGGCCTCCCCGCCGGCTGCCCTCGCGGCCCTCGTGCGCACGCGGGGCCCGCGAGCGGCGCGCAACGGAGCCGGGCCCGCAAGGTTCCACGAGACACCGCGAGAAACCGCAAGAATCCCCAAAACTCCGCCACGAACCCTTGTTCAGAACGCAACAGAATCAACGAAAATCCGTGAGAACCCCTGAGAATCCGCCAAGATCCGCTACGAGTGTGCGTTGGAAACCAAACAGAATCCATATGAATTTGCATGAGCCCGCGAGAATCAGCCAGCGAGTTCGCGGGTTTCAAACCTCCGCCGTTGACCTCCGAGGACGTCCACAAAGAAACCAAGAGGACCTCCAGGGGAAGGGTTCCGGGGGCCTCTGGGCGGCGCCGTCGCCGTCGCCGTCGTCGGAGGCCTCCAGGGAAACGCCCCGGGGTCTTCTGGAAAACTCCGCGGGCCTCCACGCATGCCCGAAGCCCTGCAGAGCGCGGCAGGCAAACCTCGATGGGGGGCTCGGGACGCCGCTGGACGTCGTCGCCATCGACGTCGTCGTCGCCCCTAGCGCCGCGAGCGACTGAGGCCCCCCCCCCGCGCGCGGGCGCGGTCGCGGAGGGAACGCGCAGACCCCTGTCCGAGAGGGCGCCCCCGACACAGGGCTCGCGCGGACGCGCGCCAGTTGTCAGGCAGGGCATGCACGCGCGCGCGCGAGCGCACTCGCCCCATGAGCGCGCACCTACACGCGTTGATGGTGATGATGGTGGTGGTGATAATGATGAGGATGATGATGGAACCCGAAGATGGTGGGGCGGTTTGGTTTCACGTTCCGAGCGCGAGGCCACGCGCACGCAAGGCGCGCGCATTTCCGTCCGAGGCGCGCCGACACGACCGAAACGCGCCAGAAAGCAAAACAGCTCACATTCCAAGCCCGATTGTTGGGTCTCGCGCCGAAATCGCGCCTGCGGGCCTACCGAAGCTTCTTCAATTTGAGGGCGCGCCCGCCCTTGCATATCAGGCCCTCATAGGCGCTCTGTCCGCCCGTCGGACTCGCGGCCCGCTGGCGCGTGCCTGGGGCCGGCGGCGCTGCTGGACGGCAGGGCGAAGTCATCCTGGCGGGGTGCCTCACCCCGCTCCTGCATCGCGGCGCTGGTCGCGCCCTGAGGGGCGCCCTCTCGGCGCCCGCGGCGACGCGCGCCAAGTCTGGGCGACGCGCCGCCTCCGCGCGCGCCGCGGCGCCCGCTTCGCCGCCCTGGCGAACGTCTCGAGAGCGGAGGCGCCCACGCCGAGGAAGTCTCTCGGCGCCGGATGGCCCCGGCGCCCCCCCCGCCCTATCCCTTCCGGCGCTTCCACATGAAAGCTAATGTGGAGCCCGCGACGTTTCGGGCGCCCTTGAGCGGCCGCCTCTCGAAACCAATTCACGCACTTGACCCGGGTGATAATCTCCTCGAGGATGGCCGATGAGACTTCCTTCGACGGCCTCGACTCTGCCCGATTGGTTGGGGGGTCGGCGTCTCCCCTGATCACCGCGGCTTCGACGGCGGCAAAGACCATCGACGCGGCTGTCGCGGGGGCGCTGGCGACACAGTCGCCGGGCGGTTCCTCGCCACGGATCACGAATGGCCCCCGCGCCCCCCGGCGTCAGGCGCAACTCCGCATGGCCCCGCACTTCGCCCCCCTGCTCTTGCGCGGTGCAGTCGCCAAAAGGGGCGCCGCGCAGGTAGTTGGTAGTGATCGAATCTGATGCTGGCGCGGCGTCTCCGGGCGCCGAGGCCGCTCGCGCGGCCCGCGGCCCAGACTCGCCGCAGCGTGCTCACTATAGCAGCATGGGCCTTCTGCTGGCTATCGGCGTTCTCCAGTTCCCGCAGCTCCATGGTCCAGATCCTCTGCCCCCTTCGACTCCCTGCCATGCGGGAAAAACTTCGCCTGTTGGGCGTGGCTGGACAAATCGCTATCGGCCTCCTCTGGTATAACAGACAGGGCCGACGGTGAGCCGCCCTCGGCGACGCTGGCGGCGCCCTCCGGAACGTCGACGGCGCGGCAACCGAGCGCCCCCGACTTGGCCCCGCCCGGCGTCTGCTCAAGCAGCGGCTCGTCATGCGAAATTTCCTCCTACTGCTCGCCAGTGCACTGGCGGGCGTCGAACACGACGCCGTCCATGTGAATTTGCTGGACGCCCCTCGGCTTCCGAGGGGGCGGCCAGATGACCTAGCTGCGGGCGCAGCCTTGCCAGTCGCCCACAGACAGCCGGCCGCGCGCGAGACGCGCTGCGCACAGGTTTGGCAGCTGATAGCACCTGCGGGGCAAGCGGCGCAGAGCGCGCCAGCTCGGTCAGCTGCGCGCCCTTCGCGCCCCCCCAGTGGCCGAGGGAACCTGGCGCGACGTGCTCCAGGCAATCCTCCGAGCTGACCCAGGAAAGGCCCGCCCGCGCCCGCGCCGCGCCAATGCCTGGGTCGTCGAAGACGGCGACGACGAAGGCCCGTGCGTCCGGCAATATTCTGGCCATCTCGGCATGACGGTGCTCGACAGCAACCCCCTCTAGCGAGCGCCCACAGAGATGATCGCGCCAGGCCCGGCCCGGCCCGGCGCGCGCTTCGCGCTCGGACGCCGGCGGGTCTCCATCCAGTCGCCAACGTCTAAGCGCCCCTCTCCAGATTCGCGGCGCGCGCCCGGGGACCGCGCCTGCGGCGGGAATTCGAAGTTGCCCCGATCACACGTCACAGCGCGATCTCTCGGACGCCCAACTGCAATCGGCCGCGCTGCACTTCTCCAACGGCAGAAAAGCCAGCACCGGCGCCATCGAGGCCGGATGCCTCGCCCTCGTCGTCTGCTTCGAGCAGCGGCAACATGGCGGGCTGCCCGCCGAAGACGACGCCGCGCGGCGCGGCGCCGCCAACGTGGGCGCGGGCGAGGCCGTTGCGCGCGAGCGCGCGGGCCGGCACGGTCGAAGTTGGCCGCGATGCCTTCGCGCTCTAGCCGCCCCGCCGCGGCGACAATTGCGCGTCGCAGCGCGGCGCCGCATCGGTCGATAAAATGAGCGCGCTGGCGCGGGGCGCAGATGTCAACCTGCGTTCCTCGCCCCCCCATGCCCT